CAGAAGACACTTCTTGCACACTTATTTGCTGGCTCTATCCACACATTCAACCTCTTGAGAAGAGGTCTTTACAGGACACAGAATCAAGGATAAAGTCTTAGTGTCGACAGACAAGGGGTGTAGTTCAGTGACAGAATACATGTCTAACATGTTAGCATGGGTCAGGTCTTGGATTTGATCCCAAGAATTGCCAAGTAAAAGCTCAAATTATATAGATGATGACTTAAGAGTAATGTGAGCTCGAGGCCAGCTTGGTCTACAGAGCTAGTTCTAGGACAGCTAGAGCTGTTATAAAGAGAAACCCTGTCTGAAAAAAAAAAAAACAAAAACAAAAACAAAACACAAAACAAACAAAAAGTAATGTGGAGCCTGGTAGTGGTGATGATGAATGCCTTTAATCTCAGCACTTGGGAGGCAGAGGCAGGTGGATCTCTGTGAGTTCAAGGTCTGCCTGGTCTGTCTATGAAGTGAATTCCAGGCCAGGGCTGTTATACAGAGAAATCCTGTCTCTAAAAACAATAAACAAAGTAAACCAAAAGGGGGAGGGAAGTAATGTGTACCCACTTTGCAAATGTCTTAGACCTTGTGACCCAAAATGCTCCCTTTTTTTGTGCTTCATGTTTGACTGTTGAGCTTAATTTGCAGAATTATTATCTAGGCCAGGATCATAGAGGATTTGTCAGATACTCTTGATTCTTTGGAACACATGACTAGAAACAGTTTGAAAGGGTTTCTTGGTTTGGTTAAAGACCAAAGTGGTAATAAATTAGGTATTTTCTTTCTGACCCTATTATCACAGTCAGCCTTCACTCTTTAGGTTCTAAATAATGCAGTGTGAACTACTCAGACCTGGAGGAAACACTACTCAATGTGTATGTTTCACCTTTCCCTGAGAAGCTATATTGAAAGAATTGTGTCATTGCACTATTGGCCCAGGATATTCTCTACAGTGTAGCCATGGCAGCAAAGAGCTACAAACAGTCTTAGAGCCCAGCAAAAGTAAATGCCCATCATGATGGATCCACACTGTGGACATTAGGGTAGCATGCAGCTCTGTACGCATGGCCATGAAAGAGCAGGGGCAGAAGGATGTGCATAGCGTACTCCATCCTTACAAAGGAAGGGATAATCTCTATGTTGGTAAATACAGGTCACAGGTCAGTGTGCATGTGGTGTGTGTGTGTGTGTGCATGTGGTGTTTGTGTGTGTGTGTGTGTGTGTGTGTGTGTGTGTGTGTGTGTGTGTGTGTGGTGTTTGGTTGGCCTTGGCTTGCTATCTAGTTCAAGTTGTTCTCAAACTCATAGCAATCCTCCCACCTTGGTCTGCCAAGTAATGAGATCACATGGGTGTCCCCTATGCCCGTATCACCAGTCACTTTTGAGGAAAAGGAAGCAGGCTCTAGTCCAGTCACTATGTAGCTGAACTGATTCTCCTGTCTCTTCCCTCTGAGTGCTAGGATCACAGGTATGCACCACCATACCTTGTTCATATGGTTCTAGGGGTTGAACTCAATTTTGTGCAAACTAGGCAAGCGCTCTAACTCAGTCCTGTCCTCAGCTCCTTATAAGTCACTTTAGAAGGTTTATTTTTATTTATGTGTCTTGTGTGTGTGTGTGTGTGTGAGAGAGAGAGAGAGAGAGAGAGAGAGAGAGAGAGAGAGAGAGAGAGAGAGAGAGCAGTTGTGTGCAAGTGCCCAAGGAGAAGAAGGCATCGGGTGGGTATTGGCTCTCTGGAGCTAGAGTTGCAGGGAGTTGTGAGCTGCCTCACATGTGCTCTGAGAATTGAACTCCAATCTTCTGCAAGCACAGCAAATACACCTAACCACCAAGTCATCTATCTAACACCCGATCCCCATTAAGTCACTTTTGAAGAAAACAAGTTAATGGCTATCCATAGCAATAGAATGAGGCCAGGGACCAGGGTGAGCCTGTATCACATGAAAGGGGGTAGATGGAGGAAGGAGAGGGAAAGTTTATTGCAGAGTTAACAGTCAATAATAACATGGTGGAAATACTAGACTAAGTTGCCTCTAAGTAACATTGTAATGGGCAGAGGTTTTCTTTTTCTCACTTTATACATAGGAAATTTGAAGTAGCTGGAATGCTGTTTCTTCAAACCTTTGATTCCTTAACTGACAGCTCTTGAGGTGGATGGTGGGGAAGTGGTCATTGCTCCGTAAGCACTTAATAAAAGTTTAGTTTTTGAATGATCAGAAACCTTTGGCCTGATTTGGAGAAGTAACTCCAGCTACATTGTTTCCCAGCAGCCAGCACAGGAAATCACCTCTGCTAAGGGCACCTGTGGCCAGTCACCAACCTCTAAAAGCATCAGTTTATTGGTGCAATGTGCTTTTACTCTTCAGAGATAGTGGGAAAATGAGGGATTCCTAAGGATAAACAATAGAGGGCTGGGTGAGTGTGTTTAGACTCCTCTTAAAACAGCCCCTAGAGAAAAGCCCAAAGTGAGTGTTTTTCCTTCCGTTATCAGCTTCCTTGATAAACTTAGCTGATGTTTAGGAAGGGGAGACAATAAACTAATGAAGAATCCAGGCCTTTCTTCTTTCCACAAACCCAGAATAGGGAGATTATTGAAAATGAAATAATGTGATTTTTAAAAAAAAAAAAAAAAGTGAGCAAAATACAAACAGCACCAAAAATATAGCATATAGGTACTGAAAACAACATTCACTTTTTTTCATACTTATGAAAGCAATGTATGTTTCTTATAGGAGATTTAGAAAATATGGATATACTGGCAGGAGGTAAGTTTCCAAGACTGAAGATGAAGCTTGGAGGTAGAGAGTGCTTGCCTAGGATGTGCAAGTCCCTAGGTTCAATAGCTGGCACCAGCTCCTTCCACTCCCCCCTCTTCTCCCCTCCTCCTCCAATTATCACTCTGATTATAGTCACTACTTTAATGGGGATTTTCCAATTTCTTCTGTGTGAATAAATATGTATGAAAGTAGTAAAACCATATTCTAGCCTCCCATTTACTAAATGTATTGTCTATGTTAACCTATCCCAATTCATTACATAGTTATTCTTTTAAAAAAATACCTTTATAAGCAGATCATTCTAGACAGTTCTTTGTTCAAACACTTCACCATAGTGTGTGGGGAGAGGTATTTTGTTTTCTGAGATAAGGACTCACATGTAGCCTTGGCTGGCCTAGAACTCACTATGTACACCAGCCTGGCCTGAAAACTCAGAGGTGGAATAGTTGGGTCAAATGATACTTTAAAACTTTTTGATCTATGTTATTTTTCAGAAAGATGGCATTTGCATTCCCAAGAACACTATATATTTACTAACCTTAGGAGTCATGTGCTAAAATTAAACCCTTGACACTAGGTGAGAGTAACAATTGAGAACAAAGTATAATGGCATATAGGTGAGAAATGCCATTACTTTATATGCTAACATAAAAAATTAACAAACACAAAAACATCCTTGAAAAAGATATGCTCCAGTTTTTAAAAATTGTGTTTGTTAGTGAATATGGGCATGCAATTGTCCTCATGAATTTTTTCTTTGATTTTGTGCCTATTCATCATCTCCATCTATATAAAGGTGTTTTCACACATTGATCCAAAGATATGCATACATGCATGAATATACGTCATATTTGCTTAATCCCAGGTATGTTATATTTTTATGAGGGCTCATAAATGCTAAAACCTTTTCAGAGCAATCTTATCATAGCTTTTCTTTTTTCTTTTCTTTCTTTCTTTTTTTAAAATCTCACATAGCCTAGACAAGACTCGAACTTCTGTGTAACCCAGGCAGGCCTTGAACTCCTGGTTCTTAAACTGCCTTCTAGAGTGCTAATATCACAAGCATGCACCACTATGGTAAACTTTCAAAACTGAACTATATTCTTAGCCGGTAAAATTTTACTTGTAGCTGGGCGGGTGGAAGCAAACTCCTTTAATCCCAGCACTCGGGAGGCTGAGTTAGGCAGATCTCTGAGTTCGAGGGCATCCTGATCTATAGAGTTCCAGGATGGGCAGAGCTATACAGAGAAACTCTGGAATGTTTCCTTACTTGTAGGAAACTCTGCAGAAACAAAAGTCTTTTTCATAGTAATTATTTACTGACTGCTTTCTAACGGGGCCTGGTGGTTACCCTCTTTCATGCATTTTCTCATTTTATTATAATGTATCCTGAATTAAATGATTGCAACTTGTATTCTCCCCTCCCCCTAATACCTGAAGCCAAGCTAAGTGGTCAAGGAACTGGGCAAAAAACACCCAGGTTTGTTGGTGGATTTGATTCCAAGTTAGTGGAGTAACAGAGAGCAGGGGGTCACAACATCAGTACAACGGGACGTGATGCCTTTATAAGGCTGACTCCAGAAAATGCCTTTCTGAAAAACAAGCATATTAGAAGGGCGTTCTATCCCGCAGCCGGCCATAAGGACTGTTTCCTTGCAAGGCTCGGCATGGATGGGATGCATGCTTAAGAGCACAATAAAATACTCAATGAGCCCTCTTTATAAGGAGGAACTCGTGCGTAACCGAGGGTGGCTTTCTGGGGCTCCGGTGGGAATTGTTCGGAAATCTACCTCCCCATCACAGGACAGGCTGAAAAGAAAGAAAGACAGGTGGAAGCGTCTGCAGGTTGGCAGGAGAAGCGCATGCGGAAGTCAGAACTTTCCGGGGGCGTCCCGGCCGCTGGTTCCACGCGCGGTGAGCGCAGGTGGCGCCGTATCCCGGCGCCCCGGGATCAAGCCGGTGCGGTGATTGGGGACCCCCCGTGAGTCATCGGAAAGGTGAAGCCTAGTTTTTCTCCTGGGCGAGGGAGGAGGGTGGGCAGGAAGCTCAGCCCAGCGCCGGGGAAAGAAAAGACTGCCATTCCCAGCCCCCCGCCCCGCGGGGCGCAGGGCGCCGCCGGCGCATGCGCGAGGCCCGGCCCCCAATTCCCTGAGCAAGGGAGGGAGGCCCCCGGCGGCCCGAACTGCGAGCCGCGGCGGGACCGAGCGCACGCAGGGGCGCGCCGGTGGCCGGGCCGGACGGGCTGCGGAGGCGCCGGTCGCGAGCACGCGAGGCCAAGGGCCGGACGGCCACCGGAGAGCACAGCGCGCCCGGTGCGGAGAGGGACCCGTCACCCGCGTCTCTCCACGCGGGGACAGCGATGCGTGAGTCTCGCCCCGGCTCGAGGGCAGGATGTGCGAGCAGGACAAAGGCTGGGCGGCGGGGGAGGAGTTGGGGACTCAGAGCCGGTGACCCAGCCAGCCCCAGGCGAGCTACTACAGCCGGCAACTTTGCAACTTTTGCAGAAGGGAACGTTGGAAATTCTGCAAGTTGTTGCACACAGTTCCAGATTGCCCCAGGTTGGGAGGACGGAGAGAGTGGAGGGGGACACTGCTGGCTTTTCAGGACAGCGGGCAGCCGCCAGCTCCGCTGAGCGGGGCAGGAGGGGGCGCCAGTACAGGTCGGGGACAGGGACCGGCAAGAATAAGGGCGACCGAGGGCGGAGTGGGGAAAGAGTGTCTCCGGCCACTGAAGCTCCCGTGTCCTCGCAGGGTGCGCCCCGAGATCCCGGTAGCCTCGGATCTGCGGTGGTGATGGATGAGCCGTGGTGGGAAGGGCGCGTCGCCTCGGATGTCCACTGCACCCTACGCGAAAAGGTCAGTCCCTCCCAGCCCTTGTCACTCGCAAGGACTGGATATTTAGAATCACTTTCGCTCTTGTGTACGTGTCTTCAGGACGCCCCGCGTGGGAACTCGGAACTCTTGTTGCCTATTTGTGCGCCTGCCCTTTTACCTTCATGGGGGAGTGTGCTCTTCCTCCAAGGAGAAGACCTGGAGGTCCAAGAACTTGAAGTCTGTTTTTCAGGAGAGCAGAGCTCCGGGCAACTAAATGGAGAATAGTTATCCCATTGGATTTACCTCCGGAAATTTCTTTAAATGGTATAAAAATGAGCTTTAAAAATAATATGTATCATTTCAGTGTGTAGTTCAAAGACACATGATATTTTAAGGAAAAAAAATAGACTGGTGCATAGCTCAGTGGTACAACAGATGCCTAAAAAATTTTATGTAAAAGCAGTAAAAGTTGCAGTTCGGTAACAAGAAATATTAGGTAGTTGGTGAGAATGCATTGTTAAGGTTGGAACTGATTGAACTTTAAAAGCCAGGCCTGGTGGGTGATCCCAGCTCTGTGGAGACAGAAGCAGAGGGTCCCCACAAGTTCAAGGCCAGTGGGAGTCATCATGATGAATTCCAGGAAGGACTGGGGGCTACATAGTGACACCTTGTCTCAAAACAAGAGAAAGAAAAGAAACACTAACTGGAAGAGGTTGCAAACTAGGAAGCCAAGGGAGAGAACAGAAATCCCCCTGCCAGTTGGCCTTCTGTGGTAGAAGGTGGGGATGCCTGAAATGTGATCCTGGCTTCCCTCCCCTCCCCTCCCCAGGCTGCTGGTAGCTGCTGGGAGGCTGGAAAAGCCCAGTGGACTCGAGGCTCCCCTGTGTTTCTTCCTTCCTATACCAGGCTGGCAAGGGTCTTTGGACAATTGGTGTGAAGTATGGAAGTGAAACTACTGTAACAAACAGCTAGAAACTGGAGAATATCCTGCACCAAAAATATGTTCTGTAATGCTGGAAGGGTCCCGAAGATGATGTTTCTGTCTTGTTTCTGAGACTAGCTGTATAGTTATTGTGCGGCACAAGCACTTCTCAAATTTACGGTCCTGTTGCCTCAGTTTTTTGGAGTGCTCTGAGCTTCCTCACAGTGTCCTCTTCCGTGTCATCTCCCAGGAGGGTCTGTGTCCTTTTTCTCATAGGAGCCCACCCTAAGCTGATAAGACTCGGCTACACTTCAGTTGGTAGACTTGAAAGGATATGACTTTAAAGTAAGTTCACATTCTCAAGTTCCAGGTGGGCATGAATTTAGGGGAGAGGTATTCTCAACTAGTTTGTCAGCCAAATGTAGGACAGAAGTTGTCTTATGTGGATCTGTGCAGAACTGGGTCTCCCTTTTAACACATGTGTACTCAGTGTCTATGGCAAGCCTGTTTAAAAAGTCCCCTGATTCTTGTGGAGGTGCCTCCCCAGGGAAGGGGTAAGTGTCTTCCAGGCATAGAAGTGCTTTGTTTTTTTGTTTTGTTTTGTTTTCTCTTTCTCTCTACCTACACACACACACACACACACACACACACACACACACAGTTTTTCCCATGTTACTTGGCTCTTTCCAGAATAAAATGTTCCAGTCTGGAAATCTGGAGACAAACTTGGGTCCTAATAGTTCTTTTCAAAAGCAGGTTATGATACTGCACACCTTTAACTAAGCATTCAGAGGTTGGAGGGTCAGAAGTTCAAGGCCAGAAAGCAGGGCCAAAGGAGATAGGGGTTCTACATGAAACAGTGTGTTCTTAGTCCTGTTCTACAAGTATTGGCTGAATACAGGTATTGGGGGCCATTGGGGAACTTGCCTTCCTGATTTAACATACCTCAAGAGTTTGCCATTTCTGCACATAGCTTAGGACCGGATGGGAAGAGAAAACTCTGTGGAAACAATGTAACTCAGAGTTCAGTTGCCTGAGACATTCCAGGCTTGAAGCTGACCTTAGGGTCAAATCTCATTAGTTACAATGTCCCACTTCCTCCAAATACTGCTGATGGTATTCTTACTGTATTTCTTCTCCCTCTTCAAAGATGTTTAAGAATGTTTGGCTTGATGGAATTTTGAGTGAAAATCACATGGTAAAGGGACTGGAACCCCAACTGATCTCCTCTCTTTGAGGAACAAGGGCTGGCCCATTATCTTTTCCAGACAGGGTGACTTTTTTTTTTTTTTAAATTAGACATTAACTCTAATAATGTGTTCCTACTACTGCAGAACAACTTTCCAAGAGCCTGGCACACACTGGACATTCACCCTTTGTTGAATGTTGCCAGCTAAGCACAAAGAATGTTTGCATACAGGCTGTTTCGATTGTTTTTGTGGGGCTACTAGCAGCCATCCTCTCCGGATGGTGGCAAGGGGCACAGGTGCCATCTCGGGACCAGTGGGAGCCCCACCTCATCAGATGGGAGAGTCTGGTTAGCATCATGTAACAATATGGACAATTTAGCACCATGGAAATGAGTCTTGGTGTTGTATGCCAACTAGTAATGGTGGCATCTCCTGACTTGACTGTTTACCTTCTCTCAGCCCAGATGCTATGGTTCATTCTTCCCCCATAACCAAAATTCCATTGTGTCACTTCTTTGCTTCAAGATCTGTTACTCTTCAAATAAAATTCCCAGGGGTCTGGAGAGATGGTTCCACGATGAAGATTACTGGCCACTCTTTCGGAAGATACAGATTCAATTCCTAGCACTCACACAGCTGCTCACAACTATGTGTAACTCCAGTCCTAGGCCATCCAACTCCTTCTTTTTCTGGTCTCTGTGGGCACTTCGTGTATATGGTGCACAGGTACACATTTAGGTAAAACATCCATACACATTATGAATAAATACAATATTCAAATAAACTTCCCAGTCCACACTTTTACCTGGACTTCCTGACGTAGCCTCCCTGGCCTATTCTCTTATCTTGTCTCCATCTCCTTCCCTTGGAGCCACACTGACTTCCTCTCTGTCCCTTGAACTAGTCAAGCTTCTTCATGCCTCAAGGCCTTTATACTGACTGTTCAATGCAGTTTGTGTTACTCAGTCTGTCTCATAGTAGCCTCCCACTAATCTATTATCCCCCCCCCCCATGTCACTATTAGATCACTCTGTTCTATTCTCTTTATAGCACTCACTAGTATCTGAAACTGGCCACTCCTAGTTTGCTGTCTTTCCCCTGATTCTAAACATATGCTTCACCAGAGTCCACCTAAATCTGTCTCATGCAATTCTGGGGCCTCCATGTCTAGAATGGAGCCCTCCCTATATGTTCAAAATGATAAAAATGAATCATTCAATAGCTTCTTCTATAAACTGGGGAGACATATTTTATAGGGATTTAAAGGTCAAGGGAGACAATCTAAGAATATGATCTATGTGGAAGGTGTGTGGCTGGGGTGTCCTCTCTCCCTTAGGATAGGTATGTGGGAGCCCAGTGGACCCCTTCATAAAGTAAGCACTCAGCTAAGACTTGGGTTGTGGAGTCTCCTGGTGTCCCTAAATGTGTCAGTGATCATTTTATATATGAAAGGCATTTCAGAGGTCTAGAGACATGGCTCAGTGGGGGGGAAAATACTTACCTTGCAAGTGTGAGGACCAGAGTTCAAATCCCAGCATGTACATAGAAGCCAGGCAGGCATAGTAGCCACTTGTAATTCCCACACTCCAGAGGCATAGTGAAGGTATTCTAAGGGCAACCAGGCTAGCTGGACTAGCCAGAATTGGCGAGTTCCAGGTTCACAAAGAGACCTTGTCTCAATAAATAAAGGGTGAATAAAGAAGACATTTCAGTGTTAACTTCAGGACTCTACACATATGTGCACATTCATATACACACATGCATACATGCCACACATGTCCCAAGTTTTTTATTTTAAGGTATCTTAGCTGTGTGTGGTAGCACAAAACTATGATGTCAACACTTGAGAGGGGAAGGCAGAAAGATAAGGAGTTCAAGGCCAGCCTCAACTACATAGGAGTTGGAGGCCAACCTGAACTACATGAGAACTTGCCTCACCCTCCCTCCCAGAAAAAGAAAGGTGTTGTCATCTCATGGTGTGAAAGTGACATGGTAGTTTGCTAAAAGCCATGTGTCTAGTGAGTGCAGGACCCAGGAATGAGATGGCTCATCCAGACACCTTCCACCTAGCCTAGAGGGGATTGAGGAACAGACTGGGTGCAGGGTGCCTTTCTACCAAAAGTCTCTGGGAAAATGTCTCCCACTTCTCCCTCTGCAGGCCACCTCTTTCCCACACCAAGCCCTTAAGTACCTCCTTTGGTCCTCCTTCTTGGTTCTGCAGCTTCCACGGAAGACCCCTGGAATCCTAAAACACACTACCCCCTAGCTTTGCCCCTTCTGACTTGTCTGCTGTGAGGCGAACAGTAGCTATAGCTCCTACAGGGAAAGTTGTTTCTCACCTGTTCTCACCTGTGCTCTGAGAGAAGGACATGTGGAGGATGATGGTGGTGATGTTTTTTTACAGTCCATACCCTTTGAGTATCAGATTAAAACCTAGAGCTATTTTTTTTTTTTTTTGGTCCCCCAAAGAAAATTCATCCTCCTGAATTTCAGGTTAATACAGTCTTCAGTCTTAGGTTCGCGTAAATTTGGATGTACATAGAGGTAGGTCACAGATAGCACTTCCTTGTGTGTCTCAGCCTCTCTAATATAATTTTGCATTTACTTTTCTATGGTCTTTGTCATCCATGTAGTATCTACTCCTTCAAACTCAGCTGTGAGCAGCTTGTAGGCATGAGGTATGCCCTATGCCTTAGCATTCCCAGTCCAATGTCTGGTGCAGAGGGACCTTAGGGTCCACTGCCCTGCCTAATACAGGCACAGCATGCTGAGTACCTGGAGAAAGGAACTTGGTGGACTTCATTTGGATGTGTTGAATAGCTGTGCAGAAGTGTTTTTCTATACCTAGTCTTTGGCATTGGGCGGGGGTAGGGTTGGGGTTGGGTGTGGGTTCCTGGTTCAACTAGAGCAGACCATAGTGCTGGCTGAAG